ATATATATATATATATATATATATATATATTTGATACACATGTAGAAAGTAGTGTTAAAAAGGAGACTAATTAAAACACGAAATCTCTAGATGAATTACGTATTTGAAAAGGAAACATGGAACCTGTAATTCTTGATGATTGATTATGAGTGCAAGGTTAATAGAAAATGCGCTCGTTTGCATTACTTACTTGCACTCGTACTCCTCGCCTTTTATCGAGATTATGGTTCTCGAGTGATCTATTCCGATTATCATTGGCTGCTTGCTACCTTGCTGACACTGCAATGATCCACAACGGACGTTCCTACGAGATGAAAGCGAAAGGAATTACATAGAGCAAAGGACTTAACTTTCAGAAGCAGTATGATTTCTAAAAATTCTAAACGGATCCATAGCGAAATGTTCAGTTTAACGTTTCGTCACACATCAGAATCTTGTTATTTTACAAATAATTACATTAATTGTTATTATGGTAATTATGGTAATAGTATTATTATAGTTGTTATTATTTATTATATATTATTATTAGTAGCATGATATGATTATACTATATTTATATAGTATAAATAATAAAATTACTATATTATTATGTAGTATAGTTATGTATAACATTTAGTATAATTATACATTACTACTAGTAACAATTAGTATAAGTAATATATTACTAATGTCAATGTAATTGTATTAATTATTATTAGCACAATTACGTTAATACATGCATAATAGGGTGAATGTAAATATTTGTAACTATTCGATTATATATCTCAAGATTTATAGCTCAGTTATCATATGTTAATAATATTTTTGTATATAAATATTTTTTTTTTTTTTTGTATCAACATAATCTTCTCCTTTCTAAATCTGACGCATTTGATGTAGTAATGTAGTAAGTAGCGAAGAAAAACAGAAATTATGGAAATTATGTGAACAAGTTACCTGAAAAATAATTATTTAAACGTGTTATCTTATTTGATTCGATGCTGTCTCGAAATAACTCTAAACATTAGTTTATTCGAAAGCAGTAAGTAAGTGATTTCTCTCGAAAACTATTTCATTATTTAGCCATCCGATGAAACAATTTCTCGTCTCATTTTAGATTTTAGATATTGCATCTGTTTCTATGAATAATTTTTCAAATAGAATCACCAGAATATTTCAAATAGAATATTTCAACGAATCACTTGCATTTAGTGAATATTGAATTCTGTTTTTAGCGAATAAAACTAAATCGATGAGGATGATTCGTCATCTCAAATTTGCTCGTTGTTTCTTTTCCTATCCTTACTCCTTCGGACTAAAATTCGCCCAAGGCTGACGAAGAAAAGGCGAACGTTCCACTTACTCTAGCTCGCACTTGATGTAGTGACCGGATGTGGTGTCAGTACCACAGTGTCCACTTAGCGAGCCCTTGGAGTTGAATTGCTCGAAACATTGTTGATCCGCGGCTACGCCGCCGTATCCCCAGATCTGCTCGCACTGAAGATCCAACGCCGCGCAAACGCCATTGTAACAGTATCCGGCGTTGTTCGAGCAGGGATTGCCGTTCTTCTTGTAGGCATCTTGTGGGCATTGGCCGGTCTCACCGGTACAGACTTCCGGCAAATCGCATTCGTTGGTCGAGTCCCGGCACACGACGCCACGCGCCAGAAGCTACGTTTTCACAATCCCTCGAGATTAGA